CCGTTGGAGTGAGAAATCTGAGACAGGCGAGGGGCCGAGGGATGTGGTCATTTGAAGCCCATGTTCCCACTTCCTAGACCAAGTTCTGTTCACTCAGCACGCCAGAACTCTGGCCCATGTGGCCCTGAGCCCACCTCCAGAGCCTATGCAAGCCTTGTTCCTGCATTCTTCCTCCTGGGAGCTGACCAGTGAACGTGTCTACACCTGAGAAAGGACCAAGGAGCAGCTGTTGGCCAGCGTGTGGAGGAAGCTTGGACATGTGGCAGTGTGGACCCTGCTGGTGCTGCATAGAGCAGTGAGTGGGCTGGGGCTACCCTCTCCTGCAACGCCAGCCACAGCCCTACACAGGACTCCAAGAAATCTGAGGATTCAAAATTCAAGCATGGCCTTCTGAGTTATTTTGAAGATACAGTTTTCAAGATTGGAGGATAAAATGTGTTATTTAATAGTATTTAATAATTTGTTCACTTGATTTATAACTTGTAAATATTTAGACATAGGGTATGTGGCCTCCATTCATACTCTTGCCCCAGGTCCTGCAAATATCAGGGACAGGCTCATATGAAGAACATGCTGGGCACTTAGTTGGGATTCAGTAAACATGACCTATCATCTTCATCGTTATTATTATTATATGTCATCATTATTCTTGTCTTCTGCCTCTTAAGGCAACATGGCCATTCCTCTGGAATGACTGGAAGATCAGCTGTCTCGTTTCCCCCTGCTCTTCTGGGTGCTGGCTGTATTTCCTGCAAGAAGGCGGTAAGCTACTCTTGAGAGTTAATGAACAGAGTATTTAGAAGGAAGCAAGGGAAACAGTGTGAGGATTCCTGGGCTCAGTCAAACCCCCAAATCAAGAGAGCATAATGACTAAGTCCTTTATGGGCTCCAAAGCCTGAAATTCCTGGATGCAAATCTTTACTCTGCCCTTTATTAGCAGTGTGACCTTGGCCGAGTTACTTCATGTTTCTTCTCTTCAATGTCTTCACCAGTAAAAATAATAGCATTAAAAATATTGACTTTAAATATATTTTATGTCACGTGTATTTTAATACAATAAAAAAAGAAAAAAACATTGACTTACATTGTTGAGGATGAACCAAAATAATATACTGAAAGTCCTTGGTGCTTGGTGTGTGCTGGGTAAAGATTAGCTCTTAGTGATATTACTTTATATAGAAGGGAATGAACTGGCATTGATGCCAAATGGGTAACTGCATGGCTCGCTCCCCTCCTATTTCAGGGCTTTGGCCGAATGCCACCTTTCCCATGAGTTCTTCTCTGACCACCCTATTTAAAATTTTAATCTCTTCCCCATCCCCACATTCTCTAAATCTCTCCTTGCTTTCTTTTTCTCCAGAGCATTTTATCACCTTGCAATATACTGTATGCTTTCCTTCTTTTTTTATGTCTTCTCCCAAAAATATGTATTAGAATGTAAGTTCTATAAGAGTGTAGGGGGTTAAATGATGCCCCCCTAAAATATTTGTCCACTGGAACCTGTGAATGTGACCTCCAGACTTTTGTCCTCCAGACCTGTGAGAGAATAAATTTCTGGGGTTTTTTTGTTTTTTTGGCTTGATTATTTTTCTTTCCTGTTTTCTATTTTCTTTCTTTTTCCTTTTTAATTGTGGTAACATTGGTTTATAACATTGTATAAATTTCAAGTGAACATCATTATACTTCTATTTCTGCACAGATTACATTACGTTCACCACCCAAATACTAATTATAATCCATCACCACACACATGTGCCTAATCATCTCTTTCGCCCTCCTCCCTTCCCTCTCCCCCTCTGGTAACCACCAATCCAACCTCTGTCTCTATGTGTTTGTTTGCTGTTGTTTTTATCTTCTGCTTATGAGTGAGATCATACAGTATTTGACCTCTTCCCTCTGACTTAGTTCACTTAGCATAATACCCGCAATGTCCATCCATGTTGTCACAAATGGCTGGATTTCATTGTTTCTTATGGCTGAGCAGTATTTCATTGTGTGTATATACCACATCTTCTTTATCCATTCGTCCCTTGATGGGCACTTAGGTTGCTTCCAAGTCTTGGCTATTGTGAATAATGCTGCAATGAACACAGGGGTGCATTATCTTTATGCATTGGTGTTTTCATGTTCTTTGGATAAACACCCAGCAGTGGAATAGCTGGATCATATGGTAGTTCTATCCTTAATTTTTTGAGGAATCTCCATACTGTTTTCCATAGTGACTGCACCAGTTTGCACTCCCCCCAGCAGTGTATGAGTGTTCCCTTCTCTCCACATCCTCTCCAACACTTGTTGTTTCCTGTCTTGTTAATTATAGCCATTCTGACAGGCGTGAGGTGATATCTCATTATAGTTTTGATTTGCATTTCCCTGGTAGTTAATGATGTTGAACATCTTTTCCTGTCCCTCTTGGCCATCTGTATATCTTCTTTGGAGAAATGTCTGTTCAGGTCTTTTGCCCATTTTTTAATTGGGTTGTTAGTTTTTTTGTTGTTGAGATGTATAAATTTCTGGGGTTTTTTGTTTTTGTTTTTGTTTTTGTTTTTGTGAGGAAGATCAGCCCTGAGCTAACATCCATGCTAATCCTCCTCTTTTTGCTGAGGAAGACCGGCTCTGAGCTAACATCTATTGCCAATCCTCCTCCTTTTTTTTCTCCAAAGCCCCAGTAGATAGTTGTATGTCATAGCTGCACATCCTTCTAGTTGCTGTATGTGGGACGCAGCCTCAGCATGGCTGGAGAAGCAGTGCATCAGTGCATGCCCAGGATCCAAACCCGGGCTGCCAGTAGCGGAGCACGTGCACTTAACAGCTAAGCCACAGGGCCGGCCCTAAATTTCTGTTTTTAAGCCACCCAGCTTACAGTGTTTGCTGTTGGCAACATATGTCAGGAATCTAGTATAGAAAGTATGAATTTTTGTCTGTTTTTGTTCTCTTATGTAACCTCAGCACCTAGAAGAGTGCCAGATTCATAATAGGTATTCAGTAATTATTTGTTGAATGAAAACCCAGGACCCAGAATTTCTCAATATGGCCGTGGAAGCATCTTATCCAGCCTAGCACGTGTCAACAAACTTTTTACGTTAAGAACCAGATAGTAAACATTTTCAGCCTTGTAAGCCATATAATCTCTGTTGCAACTATTCAACTCTGCTGTAGAAGTGGAAAAGCAGCCATAGACAACACATAAATGGATGAGCATGACTGTGTTCCATAAAATTTATTCCAAAAATTGGTAACAAGCCAGATTTGCTGACTTCTAGGCATTGGAGAGCAACCTCTGAATGTCAAGATCAACTTCTTCTCTGCCCAAGAACCATTTGGCAGCCATCTCAGTTGGGCACATTTGCATGGTCTGTTCGGCAACAAAAAGTTGTTTTTAGGAAATCTTGATGCTTTACAGTGGAACACAAAAAGTTGTGGAGGTAGGAAGTGTTTCTCAGTTCTTAATTTTATGCTAGAGACTGTGTTCTGCTGTGTGCAAGACTTAATTCAAGGTATTTTTGACATCAGTGGATGGTACAGGGTGGGGTGAGGGGCAGGCAAACTCCTCAGTGAAGCTGTCATTGCCCAGTGGTAAGTAGGATGGTGACTCCCTCAGGTCAGCAGTGAACCCTGAAGCCTCAGGGTGCTGGACCACCCAGCTTACAAACAGGACTTGAAGCCTGGAGTTGGAGGTCACTCAGATTGACTTCCCAGTTCTCCAAAGCCAGAAGACTCAAATGCTTCTTTCTTTCCTTTCTACTTTGATACCAAAGCTCAGACATTTAGATAGGAGAACAGAAGGAAAGTAGAAAGATGCATTTTAAAAGAAGGTATGTATGCCTAGGAATGAGCATATTTAGGTGTCCTCTTTAGCCACACCAACCTCGCTCAGTAGACTGCAGTTCTTTGAGAACAGGGACTTTGTTTTACTTATCATTGTGTCCTTAGGGTTTAGCATGTGGATGAACTCATAATAGAGAATGAATGAATGACTGAATGAATCATTGAATAGGCTATATTCAGATAGAAAGATAGATAGATAAATAGAAAAATAGATAGATGTGCATATTCACACATATACACACAAATTCCCAAATACACAGTGACTTTTTTATATAAGATTCTTTTACTATAGCTTGCTTCATCCTTAAACTATTCTATAATTATTTGTAGTTTTCATCTTTGCAGAATCAGATTGTTGCTAAACTGTACACAGTAACAAGAAAAACCATTCTCATGTTCTTCTGAGCCCAGTCAGCAAGCAAGAAGTATCTCTGTGGGTACAGAGATGATATGAGGGACCACATTCCATCCATGAAGCCAAAGGTGTTTAGAGGCGTGATATCAACATGCCCGAGTCCCACTCAGATAACACGTGAACTCTTGTGTCTGTCAGGAAAGCTGGGCCAGAGTCGGGAAGAAAATCGTATCAGTGCAGCCTATCTGTGATGATCTCCAAGCTGTGCTACTCAGGCGTCGGCCTGTGGGTGGATTTTCCTTCAGCATAAGGCTTTGACTGTCCAGAGTGGGGGCATAGTGGGCAGTACATCCCGAGAGAGAGAGAGAGAGAGCAATGGCCCTTGGTGACCAGCAGCCCTCCCAGCACCAGCCAGGGAGCTCTCAGGGACCGTCTGCTCCACAAAGCTGTGATGTGACCTGCTGCAGCACTGAGTCCAAATTTGGACCCATGGTGCCAGCAGGGTGATACAATGCCAGTGACATGCGGGAGCGAGGGTCAGGGGCTCAGTCAGGATCTGAACATGCCGGGGGGACTTGTCATGATGCCTGAGCTGCTGAAATCCAGGGCAGTTAGAGTGTGTGAGACAAAACTCATATGCTGCTCTGTGATAATGAAGAACCAGCAAACATGTTAGTGTAGCCCTTTAGAGAACTAACAAGTGAATGTTTCTCAAGGGAAGAATGAGCTCTTTATGAAAGTCAGGTATACGGGATAGAATGCTCAGGGGGCCTCCATTGCACGCCCCAAGTAATCCTGCTTTGCCCACCCTGTTTTCCAGCATGGGCCACTGCATCCTTTTTGTGCACGGACTGAGCAAGCTCTGCACTTGGCTGCGTCAATGTGGGGCCACCACCCTGACTGCGTCCACCGTGCTGCTGCTGCTGCTTTTCTCTTGGAAAACTGTGAAACAGAACGAAATTTGGCTGTCAAGAGAGTCCCTGTTCAGGTATGATTAGATGGATACAAGTGATCTCTTCCCATTGATTTCTTTGCTTACATATTTGTTTCCAAACGAATGAGGTAACGTGGCTCTGGTAATATTTATTAATCAAGAAAATTTGGTAGTGCTCTGAATGGAAAATGTAATTTATTTGTGGTCTTAACTTTAGTATTTTCAAATGATATTATATGCAATATGACATGGGCTGGTTGTAAAGTGAATTTATGAAGAGAAGGCTCGTGGGAAGGTTTTTGGTCTGTGAATTTAGATGGAAACAGTATTAATGATGAGCTGGGCTGTAAAATCAGCTATAAACAAAATGAAACCGATAAGCCTAATTTCATTCTTCAGTCAAGCGATTAGCAAAGGTGTTCACACAGAAAGAAGAAAGAGAAATGCAGTACATTTGTTTTAGAATATTCCAGTATGTTAAGTTGTGATCTGTAGTCTAGTTGCTATACAAGGAAATGAAAAACTTTTTCATGTCCTGATAGGTTTTTATGTGGTACAAGCTGTTTCTAAATATAATCACGTTAATTCATAACCCTATACTTATAGTAAAGTATAAACATTCTTTGAGCCTGTCACTCATCATGCTGTGCCCAGGGTTTCTCCTTCACCACTTCTCCAGCAACAGGGACCTTCACTTGGCTTCTGCTTGTATCTCAGCACCATTTTTACCGGCCTCAGCTCCAACAGACTGCCAGTCTATACTCTATTCCAGTTATTTATTCCTGCTAAATTAGCTGTCTGTCCTCATTAAGACCAAATTGGCCAATTCTATCAGCCTGGTTTCTCTTGCATCACTTCTCAGCTGGTACTCATGGTTGGTCATTTTAGATGTGTATCAATTATCCCACCTGTTACCCCTTACCTCCCTCTCTTGATTTTCCTTGTGCTTTGTTTGTTAATCCCCAATCTTGAAAAGAATCCTCTCCCCACTCCTTAGGTGCAGGCTGCACATAGTGACTTCCTTCTAAAGAGTACATGATGGAAAGGGGGTAAAAAGAGGAACTTGACAATGGAGAAACCTGCCAAACACTACCTCAGCCAGGTGACCCAGGTCAACATCAATATTCATAAATCATTTGCTGATAGTATGTACTCTTGATACGATGGGAGGTTACATGCACAGAGGAAAGACCATGTGAGAACCCATGTAGAAGGCGGCCACTTGCAAGCCTAGGAGAGAGACCTCAGGCGAATGTGATAAAAACACCACTTTACCTATGTGGTCTTCCTCCCAAAACCCATAACCCCAGTCTTATCATGACAAAAACATAAGACAGATTCCAGTAGTGGGGCATCCTGAAAAAACAGAATCCTCTCGTCTAGGTTCCTTCTCCGAGTAAAAAGCCACAAGGTTTGCTGGCTGTCTTCAAAATGGGCTGCTGCCCCACAAATTTGTTCTCTTTGTCCTCAGCTGTGTTGTGATGGAAACTTGCTCATCTCTAGTTGATGGCTCATAATATGTCCCCGTTTCCCAGTTCTCATTGCTCGTTCCTCATTCGCCATCGCCTCACTCTATGGGTGACCTTGATTCCTCCCACGGTTTGGTTGTGAGCATTGAGTGAACTGAGGTATGCGAGGTGCCTAATGTCTGTGAATAGAATTCACAGGTGCCATCTTCAGTCTGCTGAGAAGACAGAGGTCAAGCGGAATGAGTGCCCTCTGCATGCTCTCTATTTCACAAGCTCTATTTTCATCTTCCTCTTTCCTACTGTCTCAGAGAAAGAGTTGTGTCTATTATGAAGTGTATAAAATATCATTGGATTATTTCTGAAAAGGCAGCTTTTATCACTTGCACAGATAAGTGGCTAAATTAATTCAGAAGTGTAAATTTTGAAGAATAAAATATTATTGGTAATTCCAGTCACAAGTGTCTTATTGGCTCATCCCAGTCATTCCAGTCTCATCAGTGTCTCTCCCACCAGCTGCCGTTGAAAGGAGATTTTGATTTAACAAAACTTTAGACAAGAAAATGAAAGTCCTTAAAGACTGAGGCGTTCTGTGTCAAACTGCTCCACCGTGTCAGGGTTTACATAATCCCCGGGGACTGTTTGTCAGTCTACACTACACTGGGTTTGCATTAGTGGCAAGTAACAAAAACTGACTTTGGGTAACTTAAATTGAAAGAATACATTAAAAGGGTGAGGGAATCTCACAGAATTGAAGGGAACATTCAGGAATCTGGCTTGTAACAAATAAGAAATGGGAGATGCTGTGGGCTGAACTGTGTCCCCACAAATTCATATGTTGAAGCCCTAATTTCCAGTACCTCACAATGTGACTGTATTTGTGCCTTTATTAAAAGGTGAATAAGTTAAAACGAGGCCACTGTGGGGGGGGCCTTAATCCAATTTGGCTGGTGTCCTTATAAAGAGAAGAAATTAGGACACACGGAGAGACACCAGGGATGCGTGCACAGAAGAAAGACCATGTGAGAACCCAGAGAGAAGGTGGACATCTGCAAGCCTAGGAGAGAGACCTCAGAGGAAACCAAACCTGCTGACACCTAGCTCATGAACTTCTAGCTTCCAGAACTATGAAAAAATAAATTTCTGTTGTTTAAACCACCTAGTCTGTGGTATTTTGTTATGGCAACCCTAGCAAACCCTAGCAATACAGGAGCTTGACAGTAAGCTCTGAGAATCGTCAATGGAACAAACGCGTAAACTCCCACCATTTTTGTCTCTCCTCACATAAGTCCTGGTAGAGAGAATCCCATTAGCAGAGCTTGAATTCAGGTCATATACCCTCACTTCCACCAGGTTAATGAGATGACTGGCTTGTCCAAAGGAGCCTCCAAAGGGGACTTCTTTGTATTCCATGAGGGAGGGAGTAGAGAACCTTGAGTCTCACTAAGAATGCACACAGTAGGCAGAGAGGGAATCTCCCCATAGGAAATCCAGGTGTGGCTAAGGAGGAATAGATTCTGGGATGCCCCCCAAAAATGATGAATATTCCCTATGTTCTGCTTCTGATAAACCATTATAAGTAAACTCATCTGATTTTGAAACTTGACAATTTTACTTTCTTGATAGAAAATCAAAATTCAGTTTGGCATGCATGCCTTCTATTTTTTAATACGCAAAGTAGTGCTGTGTAGGGGCGTGTGAAATTAACCTTCGCCTGTGGGTTTCATTCTGTCTCTATCATACCAATCTACCTTCAGCATCATTATCACAGTTCGTGTTGGACCTGTTCTCTCTGACTGCCCAGGGCCAAATCTTTCTGTAGAGACAAAATTTAGCATCCAGTAATGTAACATCCCTTTAGTCTCTTTTTTTTCTTAAAATATTCTTTTCACTTTTAAGCTGTCAAAACTTTTATAAGGAACTTCAAAAGAGTTAAACCCTTGCCTGAACAGCAGTGGTGTCTTGATCTAGGCAACCTTGGGGAGTGGGTCTTTGGAAAGACAGCAGCTTATTTCAAGGATAACAAGTTGGGGTTCAAACCCTCACAACTGGCACCAGCAATTCAAAGAGAGCTCCTTCATCTTGTATCTAGAAGGATGCTGTTCTTTTTGAGAAAGTATGTAGTCAGTCAAGATTTGATTATTTAAACACACCATTACACCTGTGTGATGAAAAGACTTTGTAATCTGAGAGACCAGTGGAGAGCATCTGAAAGAATTTCGTTAATATGCAAAGAAAAGTTGTCATTTTCTTTAGAAACCATTCCTATCATCGTTTTTTATTCTTTATACTGAAATAACACTTAGGAATCTAAGACCTTAAATGTATACTTATTCCCTCAAGGCCAGAAGTCTTTATAAATGTATCTATGCTGAGTAATGTTTGGATGAATTTAACACACATTCACTGCTATGAGGCAAAATAGTGAAATATAGTGTTTGGGTTTATGTAGGATCTGCATAGAACTGCACTTCTCCAGTTCTCCTCCTGGGTTTATCATTTACTAAGTACGTGACTTTGGGCAAGTTACCTGTGATTTTGTGATTTATAACAAGAAATATCTATATTTGGTCTTAGTCTCAGCTCCTGGAACAGAGCTCCTAAAACTCTCGGAATTTCGTAAGTGATGAGAGGCATAGAGGTGTCTTCTGTTATGTCAATGAAGTGACAGTCTGAAAAGCCCATAGGTAACCTAAGGATGGAGCTGGTTGCCAGGGAAACCAACCATGTGATTGGAGGGTTGCAACTTTCAATTCCACCCACTCCCCACTGCCTCCAGGGTGGGAAGAGGGGCTAGAGATTGAGTTCAATCCCCAATGACCAATGAATTAATCAATCATGCCTGTGTAATGAAACCTCCATAAAAACCCAAAAGGACAGGGTGTCAATGCAAATAATCCATAATCAACCTATAAATCAAAATTGGGGTGGGTTTATTATATGAACCAGGTCTGAGGACTAGAGACTGGGAGCTTCCTTTCCCAAGGGAGGAAGCACTCTGAAGAAGCAGAGAGTACAGAGTGGTTATATACTGTCTTGGAGCAAGGAACATCCATCACATATGACAGGAATATCTCTTTTACTACAGTCACAAGATACTTTGCTAGCACAGCAGGTCAGTTGTCCCAAGGTGAGCCCAGCAAGTTGGTGGTCAGCCCATCAGTGATCACAAGATGAGCACAGTGGGTAAATAATTAATCCTTAGCTTCTAGGAAGAAATGCTTATCATTAAAGAAACACTGATTTGGGGGAAGCAACATCCCTGTCTATAATGGCATCATTCTTGACTTTGGGACATTGTCAGTGTTTAAAGCAGATGCATGCTCAACAGGCCACTCAGGCCTTTCTGGAAAAACAAGGTCAGGCTGAGTTAGTTTTAAACCAAATGGCTTCCTCACGTACTCCAATATATCCTATTGCTTTTCATTTATTCATCAAGGGTTTGAAGAACTTCCAGGTTAGTGAACACGTGGAGATTGAGGGAGAATGGCACCTCTGGAGAAGGCACACCATTTCCCCATATCTCACCCTATGCATCTCTTCCAGCCCCCTGTCTGCTGCATTTTCAGTCTGACGGGTCCCCCCGCAGTTTCCCCTGGCAGGAACTTTACACACAAGAAACACAAGAACCCAGCACTGTGTTTCATAACACCACTAATGAGGGCTTCCATTTATTGGGATGCTGTGCTTCAATGGTTGACACATTTTAAATCAGTCTTTATAATCCCATTTTACAGCGAGAGTGACTAATCTGCACAAATTGACACAGTTAGTAAGAGGAGAGCCAGGATTTGAGCATGCATCTGATTTAAAAGTCAAAGAATACACAAACTTTTGTTTTTATGTTTTCCAAACTAAACTAGACCCAGCATAAGCAAAAAGAAATATTCACGATCATGCTGCAAGGAATTCTCTTTTTTTTTTTTTTAATAATTTTATTTATTTATTTTCCCCCAAAGCCCCAATAGATAGTGGTATGTCATAGTTGCACATCCTTCTAGTTGCTGTATGTGGGATGTGGCCTCAGCATGGCCGGAGAAGTGGTGCGTCGGTGTGCACCCGGGATCTGAACCCAGGCCCCCAGCAGCGGAGCGCGTGCACTTAACCGCTAAGCCACGAGGCCGGCCCGTGCAAGGAATTTTCTTTAATTCCTGTTAACAAGAAACCATCTGATGTCCTAACCTGGGGACAGTGATGACTACACATCTTCACCTGGCTATAGTTACACCCCATGCTACCTTACACCTGTTTGGATTAAAACTATTACTGAGATAACTTCCAAACTGATCAATTTTTCCTCCAAAGTCTTCAAAATATTAAGAAAGACCTAAAATAAAATATCTTTTCTTTGAGATCCAATTCATAGACTCTCTGAAACTTGCTTAGGAGTGTCCACAGACCACAGGTTAAGAATCCATGGCCCATGCTGTGGTGGCCCGGAGTTCACCAGTTCGGATCCCGGGCGTGCACTGACGCACCACTTGTCAAGCCATGCTGTGGTGGCGTCCCATATAAAGTAGAGGAAGATGGGCATGGACATTAGCCCGGGGCCAGTCTTCCTCAGCAAAAAAAGAGGAGGATTGGCAGATGTTAGCTCAGGACCAATCTTCCTCACAAAAAAAAAAAAAAAAAAGAATCCGTGGCCTTGGGCCAGCCCTGGTGGCCTAGTGGTTAAGTTCTGCCTGCTCCACTTCAGCAGCCTGTGTTCAGTTCCCAGGTGTGGACCTACACCACTCATCTGTCAGTGGCCATGCTGTGGTGGCAGCTCACATACAAAAAGGAGGAAGATTGGCAATGGATGTTAGCTCCAGGCGAATCTTCCTCAGCAAAAAGAAGAAAGAATCCACAGTGTTGATCAGGAGGAGAGACTAGGATTGGGACAATATTCCCTGGCCACAGAGGACTCCCAATTGTCCGTTCACTGGGAGAAAGGTGATGGGCTCCTGAGGGAGTAGATCTCACCATAATTTAAGGACAAATATTAACACTTTACACCAGGAGTCAGCAAACTACAGCCTTTGGGTCAAATCCAGTCGGCCACCAATTTTTGTAAGTTTTATGGGAACCCAGCCACGCCCATTTGTTTATGTCTTCTCGATACTGCCTTCCTGCTACAATGGCAGAATTGAGCAACACAGATCCTACGGCCCACAGAGCCAAAAATATTTACTCTCTGGCGCCCTACAGAAAGTTTTCCAGTCCCTGACCAAAATGATCCTCTCTCTGCAAGAAGCACATTCCTCTTTGCTGTTCTCTGAATTCCTGAGCCAGAGCGCAGCAGATCTCCTCCTGCGGTGAGTATAAGCCTTGTGGGGGTGACGTCCTAAGGCTGCTGGTTTCCCTGCAGTGATTTTTGGTGTCGACTCACACATGGGCTCAACCTAGCGACTGATTTTGATCGTGTACAGGAGACAGTTAAACAGAATGGCTAAGAGCTTGAAGCTTTGTTCAAATTCCCACTCAGTTGCTTCCTAGCTTTGTGACCCTAGAAAAAAATTTAACCTCTCTGCTTCAGATTCCTCATCTTTAAAATGGAAATATCAATAATACCACCCACCTGATAGGGTCATTGACACAATTAAATGAGTGAATCCATGGAAGTGTTCTGTCTAGTCCGGAGCTTTGTTTATAATAAGTATTCTGTAAGAGCTAGCTCCTGTAAGTGCAGACATTGTCAAAACTAGGAGTCAGGTCAAAGGAGGGTCCAAAATTTAGAGAGAAACAAGTTATCCCTTTCCCATCCTCTGGACCTCTTGCTGAACGCTACTTTTTTTTTTAATTCTGTTTGCTTTCTCACCTGGGATTCAGACATGTCTTCCTGCTCTGTTGTCCAGTAATGTCAAAAGAACAAGTTACTATTTTTAAAACTTGAAGATACAATTGACAGAACTTGTTTTTCTACCACTTTTACAGTTCTACAACAAAATGGTATGCATAAGAAACAGGAAGTAAGATTCTAAATTGAAAGGAAGGGCTTTCATTATAATCTTAACTTGCTATAATTATAATAATGATTTTGGATCTACCAAAATAATTTATGACCTTTAAATTTCCTTGTGGAGAAAATATGCCAATAATTGCAATATTTCAATTAAAACCCTTAGAAGTTGTGGGGGAAGAGGGAGAAACTCCCTCTGCCCTTTCCCTTAAGGTTCTTCTGGCTGGCCAAATAATTAACAAGACAGGTTAGCAGGAGAAAATAATACGAAGTTTAATAACCTGTATACATGTGAGAAACCAGGGACACAGTTTCTCCACACAATAGCAGAGATTCTCGTCTTAAATACTATCTTCAGCTAAAGACAAAGGAGGATGTTGGGGATGGGTAGTGGTTTGGGATTTCAGAGGAGAAGAAGACAACTTACATGGAGAGGGAAACGTAGATGTTTGTCAGACAATGCTTTGCAGGACCACCTATAGAGAATGTGGCCGGAGAGACAGGAATTATAGTAATCAAGAGTATGTAGATTTAAGTCTTCTTCCGTCCTGATAAGAGTTTCCACAGATAAGGTCATCCCCCACACTCTTCCCACTACATAGAGGGAGATACCTTACAAAGGTAAATATTTGGTAAACAGAACTTTGTTAAGAATGGGCTTAGCAAGGACCCTGCCAGTCTGTCTACACCCAGAGTTAAATTCCTTGAGGCAGCTTGGGGGAGGTCAAATGTCCATCAGAGAAAATAATCAAGGTAAGGAGATATATTTTAGGGTGGACAATTTTGATCTCCCACAAAGTACTAACCTGGGACATCAAGAAAGCGAACACAGAAGCCTGACTCTGGAGACAGAAGTAACCTCGGAAGTTACAAAGAATCGTTTGTTTTTTTTTATCCCATTTTTATTTTCTTTTTGCTCATTGTAAAATGAAAGGCAGGAAAAGAGAAGTGGAAAAATGTTACAGGAAGATTTACAGTAGAATACAATGGGAAAAAGTAGTGTGTTCTTTGGATTGACTTACTCCACCCGTGTCTGCTTGGCTATTATGAATATTACAGCTTCCTCTTGCCATCACAGAATGATGCTCTGATCTTTTCACACTTCCGCAGGGCCATTTGTGTAAACCTCATTTGAAACATAAATTAGAGAAACTATGCTAAATGAGCAAGAAGCAAAGTATCAATTCCAATAAAAATGCATCCATATCAGCACAGTAATAGAAATGCTTAAGTACATTAAGAAGATGATGATCTTTTAGCCTACAATGTCTCTGCAACCTCCATCTTACCAAGCACTCTTATATTTAGATGGATAGAATTTTTTCTGGATAGAAATCAGAAGTTTTTTAAACCATTACTACCACCATCATGCAGATCCTGCTCCCGTGAGTAAACTCTTAATTCATTTTGGGAACCATATTATTTTTAAGTTATATTAGCAGTACTAGCTAACTCATGTACATCGAAAATCGATGAAGCAGCCATTTGTAAGTTTGGGATCTGCTGCTCTCGGATGCTCTGTTTTCCTGGCTTCGGTCTCTTCCTTCCACACTCCCTGCCATTTTCTCACTTCTTTGAGATTTCCTCAAGCTCCCAGTTTGTGTGTTCTAACTGGAGCAGCCTTGGCCAGGACTGAAGGTGCAAACAGTCCCCTATATGCAAAAATTTCAACCAAATTTTAATAAAAGTTTACATTATCCAAATACATTTCCCCAATAGACTCCAACACTTGGTACAAAATTTCCTTGTTAATCTCACCTTTAAATCAAGTAATGTGTTAGTTTCCCAGGGCTGCAGTAACAAATTACCCTAAACTTGGTATCTAAAAACAACAGAAATTTTTTCTCTAACAGTTCTGGAGGCCAGAATTCTGAAATCAAGGAGTCAGCAGGATTAATTCCTTCTGGAGGGACAATCTATTCCACGCCTTTTCACTAGCCTCTGGTGGCTGCTGACAATCCTTGGCGTTTGTTGGTTGTAGCTACATATCTCCAAACTTGCCTGCATCTTCATATGCCTTCTCCTCTGTATCTTCTCTTCTTCTTATAAGGACACTTGTCATTGGATTAGGACTCACTCAGACTATCCAGGTTGATCTCATCTCAAGATAATTTAATTACATCAACAAAGACTTTTTTCCAAACAATGTCACATTCACAGTGAACATATCTTTGGGGTGGAGGGTACCATTCAACCCACTACAAATATTAAATTAAAATATGTTATCTTGGAGAAATATAACTACTCAGAAACCAGAATCTCATCAGTAACTTCTTCCTCTAGCCATTCTCAGCTTCCCACTTGGTCTCTCACTTCCAATCTAATCATCAAGAGGTCCAGGAAATTTTCTCCCAAACAGATCTCAGCCCATCTTTTTAAATTTTTTTCCATTGTGACATCCTTCGTTAAAGTGAGGGAGCAGGGACTGAACAAAAGTGCTGGGTTGAAATCACAGCTTTGCTATTTATCAGCTGTGTGACCTTGGGCAAATTACTCAACTTCTAAGCTCATCAGTTTCCATCCGCAATTTGGGCATGATAAAATTATAAGGACCAAAGGAATTAATATATTTAAAGTGCTTAGAACAGGGCTGGCCCTGTGGCTTGGTGGTTAAGTGCGCGCGCTGCGATGCTGGTGGCCCGGGTTCGGATCCCGGGTGCGCATTGAGGCACCACTTCTCCCTCCATCCTGAGGCCGAGTCCCACACACAGCAACTAGAAGGATGTGCAGCTATGACGTACAACTATCTACTGGGGCTTTGGGGGGAAAAAAATAAAATAAATAAAATCTTTAAAAAAATAAATAAATAAATAAAAATAAAGTGCTTAGAACAGCATCTGAAACCTAGTAGGCATTCATGAATGCTAGCTGCTATTCTTATTCTAAGTCAAAGACCTATAATCTCTTTAAATGAACAACCTAGTCCTAGTCATTTTTATTTTAAAATTGCTGTGTTACCAACTATAAAGTCCAAACTTAAGTTTGATAAAAAATAACAAAACAAATATTGATATGACCCTTTTGGGAAAAAAATCAAAAAAATCATTTTCAGAATTCAAAAACTGTCTACAGAATTAACTATTGTGTTTTGCTCCAAAACTATAAAGTGAGCTAACAGATCAAACTTCCAAATTGAGTGGTGCAAAAAAGACATTTAGGGGGCCGGCCTGGTGGCACAGCAGCTAAGTGGGCGCGCTCCACTTCGGCGGCCCAGGGTTCTTAGGTTCAGATTCCAGGCGCGCACCAACGCACCGCTTCTCAAGCCACGCTGTGGCAGCTTCCCATATAAAGCAGAGGAAGATGGGCATGCACGTTAGCCCAGGGCCAATCTTAGCAAAAAAAGAGGAGGCTTGGCATCGAATGTTAGCTCAGGGCTGGTCTACCTCACCAAAAAAAAAAGACATTTAGAAGATGGAAAATTCATTTCCTTATTAAAGTATGTTACATCTTATTATTAACAAATATGGACTTTAAAAATAATAGCGTTCATTTTTCTATTGCGTCTTTCATACGTGAAAATTAACACAAAGAACAAGGTTCTATCAGTGCCAGGAAAGGTAGAAGTAAACAAGAATACCAATTAGTTGAGAGTACTCTTCATGAAAAACAGTCCTTAGGCAAAAATCGAGGCCTTTCGGAGACACAGTAATACTCTTCCATTCTTGGGAAGTTGTGTTAAAAAAGGAACTGGAAGGGAGGGAGGGAACTGACTGAGCATACAAGGTTGTTCTGTAAGGAATCATCTCTCACCAAGTCTTGTCACTTCTGCTTCCCAAATATTTCCTGAATCCCCGCCCTTCTCTTTGTACCCACTGCTGCGGTTCTGGCTTTTAGCTCCCCCTCCTCCCTCACTGCAACAATTCGCAGAGAAGTTGTTCTAAAGTGTTCAACTGTTGGTTTCACTTTTCTCTTTAAAACATTCCACTGACTCTTCCTGTGCCTCAGATAAAGCCCAGAATCTCTAATGTCACTCCCAAGGCCCCTCAGGGTCTCTCCACTCCCAAACTCAGCCTTCTAAGATCCAGCCACCCTGAATTTCCTGCAGTCCCTCAAAAGCCCCACACTGTCTTTTCTCTAGGTCCTCTGCTTAGGACATTCTGCCCCTTTCCAGACCCCCAATCTAGATCCTAATTTCTATCATTCTTAGGGTCTCAGCTTAGCTGTCACTGCCTCCTGGAAGCTTTCCCTGGTCCCCATGTCTGGGATGAGGCTCCTCTTCTCTGCTCCCATGGCACCTTAATCATCTCTGTAACAAACCGTATTGTACTTGCCCAGATTCCCCACCCTCCTGTGAGCTCGTTGAGGGCAGGAACTCTGACCGTCCGCAGCACCCAGCACGGTGCTTGGCACATAGCAGGCCCTGCCTATCTATTGAATTACTCAGATTTTCAAATGCTTGAAAATTAGTTTGTCCAGAACCTTCTCACTTCTGGAATTCCCCCCTATTAATGATTCTGCTATGGTCTGCACAGAACTTTACCTTTTCCTTTCCTTCTGTGCATTTGGAACTCCACTGTTCGCATTGTCAGCCGGGCCAGGCATGTGATAATTCTCTCAAAAGGACCGACTTTACTACCCACCATCATTGAGTAATTAAGGAACTTTCCTAATCCCTGTGCACACTCCTAGGTCTGGAATGTGTTTTCCTTCCGACAGGCACCCCTGAGAACTGTGCATACAAAGGAGGGAGCAGTGACTTTGCAGGCTAGGAGGGAGGTGGGAGAGAGTTTGCACACAAACCGATAGCATGGTTTTCCCCACTGAAGGAAACCAGAAGATGGGAGAGAATAAAGGGAAAGAAGGCAGAGAATGAAAGGGTGTCACACGTTGTATCTCATCTCTTGCTTTGTAGAGGTGGTTGTGGCTATGGGTTATCCTCCTTTTTATGAAAACCATTTAATCTTTTCTTTCTTTGGTTCTTTATCCTGCTCACACAGATCAACTTAGGCTATTTCCTCAAATCTCCGTGATTAAAAAGCCTGCCCCTTGTAGATGGAGACACATGAAAGGAAGAAAGGGTTTGCCTAATGCCAGGCTTCCCCTCACAGGATGACTGTCTGTAATTATCCTCTGCAGGGTCTCGCTTTGCTGCAGCGCAGCCTCCATGTCCTCACATCTTCTGCCCACTGCATCCTAAATTAGGAAAGCCAGTCTGGCCTGACAATGGAGAGTTACGTGTTTCCCTGGTTGTGTGATGTGCCCTCGGGTCTATAACTGGGCCCAGCTGTGCTCCCAGAGATGCCTCAGGTGAGATGACAGAGCCCTACGAGGCTCCAGGTGTGTCTCTAGCACATACAAACTCTTATGTCTACATGCTAAGGGCATTTTGTTCATATGTGGATAGCATGTTTGTTCGAATGTGCACACCTGCCTTCTGCATCATTTTCCACATGGGTATGTTTTGTATCTCATATAATTCTCACATTTTGAAGGTCCTAACTTAGAGAAAACCATTCCAAATACAGATTCATGAAACTATGAGTAAAATGCGAAGAAAATTGACAACATTCCTAAGCACTACTCTTTACTGCTTTTTAAAAAATATATTAATTTTAAGTCTAGAATTCAAACTCTGCCCCACAATGCCAAAGTTCACTACAACTACGCCAATTTTCTGAAGGACCAGGGTCAAATAGGGTAGCCATCTAGCACTACAGAACAGCCCTCAAGTAAGCACCAGAGGGGTGTTGGCTATTGTGCTTTTCAGGCCCTTGTCTCTTTCACTCACCTCTCCCAGTGTGGGGCAAAGGGCTGGAGGGGGAGTAGTGGGTGCAGTGGTGGTATGTGTGTTTGTTTGTTCCTCTTGACAATGAACATCTCCTTGGAGGTGATGATATAGGTCTTGGACTCTCTGAGTCTTTTGGCCCAATATTTGAGTCTGTTATAAATAACGGTAATTCCACCTTGCTTCTAACTCTTGGTGTTTTCCTGTAAATTTCCATTGCTACGCATTATGCAATGAAGTGACCCTCAGTTGAATACACACACGCCCATACATAGGAGTTAGTTGTCAAAAATACACTGGTGAGTTCTCAGGACATGTATTCCAATCAATTATTAATGTTGTGTATATGGAAAATCTAGGTCTTTCACTGCTTGAGGGAGATTCCTATGGAAACATTTGAAAGCAATTAAGATGCCCTACCATGTCATGTTAGATTAAGAATAAAATGAGGAGGCACTTTTTTGCCATGTTTGGAATTTAAGGCTTTTTAGAACATGTATGTATTTATATTTTTCCCAGGTAAAGAGTTCTGATGCTCTCCTCACACCTTTCATCGGGATGCAGTATATCAAAAATGCTTATGACTTATGCTTCATTCTTAGGCAGAGACCATTACCATAGTGCTCTCAGGCACTCTTTTCATATCTCAATGCTGAGCTCTCATGGTGGCCATCTCCCAAGATTCCAGACAAGAAATATGTTTGACCTTAAACATGTGGAGACTTGACAAATAAAATATATGAGAGTATAATAAAGCAAGGTGAATTCTCTCCTCTATTGAATACTATGATGTTCATAGAAGCCCTTTCAGCAGGACTCTGTACGCCACAAATTGGCCCACATTTGGTTCCAATACTCAACCAATTGTAGATGCTTGAAACACATATACCGATAGGTATATATAATAGACTAATATGTTTCACTTAAGATATTTACGCTCTGTTTTCTAAAGTTCCTACCGGGATGTTCTTAAAGATTGGTTTTAAAAATTATCATTCTTACAGTCACTAGAATTTTTTTTTTATTTATGTTTTGGAACAGTATTCTTCACCAGTGAATTATTCATCAATTACTTAATATTCAGCATAACCAACGACTTAAAGCAGTACACGAAAAACTAGCAACCAAAAACTTTCCTAAGGATCGCAAGACAAATTCCGAAGGGAAAGTCAGAGCAAAGCCTCCTGTTTTTATTGAGGAGTAGAAGACATGTTTAAGGATGTAAGTACTCATATTCCTTTGTTGGGAGGCAGTTTACCAAAAGGTCACAACTCTATCTTAGATTGCTGGAATTATGTTGATTTTTACCTTCTTAAAATGCTGTACTTCAGCAATCAGAAAATATCATTTAAACTTTAAGGGTATATTTTGGCTTGAACAATGAATTTACATTTAACAATTTTACATGGCATTCAGAAGGGGAGACAACGATTACTAAGTTTACCCTAAAAAGATGTAGGGAGAAAGGAAATGTTTTAGTACAGTCACGTGCCACGGAACAATGGACCACATATACGACGGTGGTCCCATAAGATTGGTATCACAGAGCCTAGGTGTGTAGCAGGCTATACCATCTAGGTTTGTGTAAGTACACTCCATGATGTTCGCACAACGACAAAGTCACCTCACAACACCACCTTTCTCAGAACGTGTCCCATCATTAAGCACCACATGACTGCATTTTATTTTTCATTCTTAAAGTCTATTTTCTGGTTCAAACAGAAAAACAAGGCAGACTTCAAGTCACTTGGGATAAAGACGTAAAGTGAGCATGATTCACTGGTGGTCGATTTTAAAGGATTTCAGTAGTCAGTTGGACACTTGGAGCTTCTCTTCAGTGAAACGATAAAATATTGTTTTATTAACTGTGCTTTGGTGAGAAACATGTCTCTTGAGAGATGAAAAACAAAACAGTTAAAGCTACAAATATACCACACAGTGATTGATGAAATGCTTTATCCTCTCAGACCAGGCTCAAAAATCTGGCTGGTTCCAAAGTGTCCTCCTTATTGTCTGGAGGCCCTTGTTGTGAATATTCAACAGATGTTAGCGTCTCTTGAAGTAAATTGTCGTTCTTTATCAACGTTGGAGAGAAAGGAAAAAATACTAGATTATTATTTTGGTGATTATCATAGGTAATTGAAAAATTGCCTTTATTTCGATATTGCTACTTTTACATAAAAGTTGCTGAGGGAGGAATTTCTTTCCTTTCCAAGTACACTAGCCATCTCTCCACTTCAGCAAGACTTTCTAATTTTCTCCATATTTGCAGACAGCAAAAATGAGAATAATAGGTAAATGCAGGATTAAAGTATCCGCAGTCACTTCCAACAATCATCGTTACAGCTCTAAGGACTACAGATTCCAAAAGCAATAGTGAAGTTATTCATTCAAATTGTATTTATTGCCAGCCAATCACTTTTTGGCTGGCTGTTATTTTTCAAACTAGCCTAATAGTAAACTGGTAATCATATATGACATGACTATTCTGTGTCTTTTAAATTTTTATTTTATTCTTACAGTATTGCAGAATTACCTCTGCCCTCTTCTCTCTGGGTATGGCCCATTTCAATATATTTGTATAGTGTGGGAAAACTTCCTCTGGAAAAATACTTCATTTAAGGTTACAGTTTCAGTTTAAAACCTGAATCATCCATAAAAAAAAAGCAAAAACACTTCCCTTAAATCTTCAGCAAACAAGAATGTTAGCTTTGCTTTGCTGTGAGGGGCAGCTCTCATATTTATACCTATTCCAGGTTCTATAAAGTTTGGGATTATATATGATGGGGGATCAGAAAACCACTGGTGGATCTGCCATATGCCTCCAAAGCTTTCTGACCATTGAGTTACCCTGGGGAAGGGTTCTACCATTCCACCTCATGTGATGGGAGTAGAAAGTGCAGAGACCACCCAATATTTCAGCTCTACCTGCACAGACACTCCCATGAAGTGTCTCATCCAGTAAATCCAAAAGGAGACACAGTAACCCTGTCTGGATAAAGTGCAGAAGATGCCCCTTAGTGAACTCCTAATTGGCCAATAGTTGGTTGATTAATTTAAAAGGTTAGTCTAAAGTGAAGAATCATAAAGCAAATAATATTTAACCCTAAACGTTTTATTGTAACCTAAAACATACAAATGTACATTCACCCATATTTTAAAGTCAGGCCAAAATCTTTTAATAAGAGCCCATTGATAGAAAACCAAATCCTCATTCTCATACCCAAAATGCATTATCTCTGATTATCATCAGTTTTCACAGCTTTAAAGTGGAATGAAAATTTAAAGACACTTGCAAGTAAACTAGGTATAGAATCCACGATTTTCAGGATTTTTTTCCTTCCAGTCTTTTACAGTTGTCTCATCGAACTGAATTTTATTTTTTAGCAACTTCACTTTTTCAGTTTTTCCAAAGTACTTACTTGGTTTTCATTGATTTGACAACTCTTTTCTCACTCCAATTTTATCCGTTTATAGAATATTTTACCAAATTATGCAACTACAGTAAAAAGTACAACTGAACAAACTTGGGAATAAACATTAAATGACTCTTGGCAGTCAGAAAACCCAGCCAGTGGGAGCAGAGGAGCACAGGCTTACCAAAGAGCAGTAAGAAAGAGCAGTGCACTTCCTCAGTGTTTATTAGGGTGCAACTCAACAGATTTCACAAAGGGATTGGAGGATGTCTGCTAACCCAGTGACTTTCGTAGGTGGAGATTACTTAAAAGAGTTTCTATTATAGTGAAATATATCTACTACAGGTAAAAGAGTAAAAGCTATGGTTTCTACTATTGTTCAGACTCACTGGATGACAATTATTGGTTATTTTCAACTGGTCATCAAGAACTCTGTATCTGAGAATGCAAAATAAGGTTTGCTACTGCTAGTGAGTCAGGCTGGTCTCTCCAGTGTCGCCAGAATATTACCCCAGGTTCCACTGATCATTTGTCAGCCTAGAGGTCCTTCCTACCACTCTACTCCCGTAACACCCCTGTGACACCCAGTGCTCTGAGACTTGCTGATGTGCCCCAGGTGTCTGGATGTCAGCCATATGCAGGATTTAATCCCGATGAGAGGGCTGAGATCCTCAGTCACCCAGACATCCATTTTCTTCTTCATGTGTACGATTTTAGCACAAAATAAACAGTAAATCACTTAGATTGATGTTCTCCTGCAATATTTTGGTCCAACAGGAGATATGTTACCCTGCTCTGTGGGGGACTCAAGTGGGCTTGGGCAGCTGTGGGACCTTTGGAATGGCCTTATCCACTGCTAATATGTCTGTTATTGGTGTTTTAAGCAGAACCTCTGAAAGGAAAGAAAACTGTGCAAATAGGATTGAAGTTCCTGATCGTGTTGTTTTCTACTCATATAACGAAAAAGGAAGGACTATGTTCTTAATGATTATATACCAAAGAAACTCTATGCCACTTCTTAATTTGCCAACACATGGTAAAGGAATGGACTGACAATGTTTTTATTAAAATTCATGTAATGTATAGGGACTTGTTATGATGATACTGCCCATTCATATAGTACTTAATTGTTCTTCCTGCGGGGACAACTGGGACTCCTCAAGAAAATTCCATAAGACCTGGATGTTTATTTTTTCAATAAGAAAAAAAATATTTATTTCAAAAAGAAATAAATGGGTGAAGAGTAAAGAAACATCATTAGAGCTGCAATGAAATATAACAAAAGACGATTGCAGGTGCAAATTAATCCACTTTCTCATGATATCCTAAGTGCATTAAATAAGATTATTATATTACATTTCTTAGGAAAAGTTTGCTCAATAAAATGTGTATGGTTTGAACATTGTAAAAACTAGGACCCACTGAGTAGGAGAAAACACCACCTTATTTACATAGCTTATTTTGAATGAACTTTTAAATAACTCTTATAACTACAGATGGCCTCAGATGCTGGCTGGCATGTGTTTCT